CGGCCCCGGGCGAAGCGCTTCCACCGCTGCCTGCTCTTGCCCGCGAGCCGGGGCGGAAGCTCACTGCTCTGGCGACCGGCGCCGTCCCTGCTGCCCCGGTCGCTGCGGGGCTGACCTGAATCCAGGGCCACGGGCAGCCTGCACTCACAGGCCTCAGCGCTGGCGTGGAGAGGCAGTGGCGAGGTACACGGGTGGGAGCGGCTGCCACGGCCCCCTCCATCCTCGGCTTTACCACTGAGTCGGGACAGACAGGCAGCTGGCATCCAGGGCAGCCCCGCAGGACAGGCCTTGCCCCCCAGGGTGGTGCAGCTCCCCAGGGCCTCGGCCTTGCTGCTGTGCAAGCCCCCACACGGGGCTGGAGTCCAGCAGCGGACATGAGGCATGAGTGCAAGCAGCTCCTCAACGCCAGCGAGACCCCCAGCTCTGCAGGGAGCAGGCCTGGCACTGGGGTCCTGCACCTGGCACAGGGGTGCAGGGGGAGCCGGGCACCAGGGCCCCAGGCTTCCTACCTGAGCCCTGCTTTGGCTGTTGGGCCAGGCACTTCCTTCCTCCAGTCCACAGGGCATGACCCCAGCTTTCCGCCAAGTCCCTGGCACAGGGCAAGGGCCAGGCTTGGAAAGCACCAGGTGCTGCTGGAGAGTCTGTACAGGCTCCTAATCCCCATGGACGCAGCACCTAGAGGCCCTCAAGATCTCCAGCGGGCTTTAGCCACTTTCCAGACCTGGCCGGGAACGTTTCTGAGCGGAGACAGATGCCAACGAAGCCCGGACTCGGGTCCTGCCAGGGCTCAAGGCAGAACCGATCTGGTGCTTTCTGCTGCATCTGCTCCGCTCTGCCAGGGCCACAGCGCAGGGCTGCGTGGGGCACGGGCACCTCCTGCAGAAGGCCAGGGCTGGAGGAAGGAGACGAAGCCCCTGCATTTGCTCGGAGAGCACAGCATGGACAGGACAGGTTTGTGATGCTGCTGTGAATCCTCCACGATACAGGAGTTCATCTACTTCCTCAGCCCTTGGGAGTCGCTGCAGACAAGCGCAGCCTCAGCGTGGGGAGATTCACAGCTTTGAAAAGTTTAGTGGCAGACAAAGTGTCCTCGTGCTTCAGCCCTGTCTTAATTAAAAACAACGCAGATGTGACGTGCAACATGAGGCAGGGCCTCTGCACCTCTGTCCTGCAGCATCCCAGGCTAAACCTGCCCTCCAGCACAGGCTGCCAGGGCCCTGAGCACGCCGAGCCATTGCTGCCTCCTACTTGTCTGCAATGCCCCCTCCAGCGGCCCAGGGAGCGGGGGCTGAGCCAGGACGAAGCTGCAGCCGGGTTTCCCCACCTCGGCCGTCCCCGCTGGGGCCTGGCAGCGACCCACCGCTGCCTCCCCTACCCGACAGGACGAGCTGGCAGTGCAGCGGGCACCAGGCTCGCACACACAGAACATGCCCCAGCACAACCGGCCACAGACCTGCCTTCGGCCCAACACAGGCAGGTCCCACAGCCACAGGTGTTGACCACAGCCCCAACTCACTGGGCCCAAGGCCGTCAGCCTGCTGTGCTCACTGGGCATCTCTTGCTGCGGTCATCCCAGCTGCTCCAGACGTGTGGCTGGAGCTGAGGCCGGGGCATTTTCTTCTCACAACCCTCCCTGGCCTGGCTCTGCTCAGCTGAGTGGGGCTGGAGCAGCTGCCCTTCACCTGCAAGTGCCCTCCACACCGAGGCCAAGGCCTGCGACCACCCCGGATTCAGGTCAGCATTACTCAGGGGGAGAGGGGCTGGGCACCACGCAGCCCTGGCCTCACGGGAGCAGGGCCAGCCCTAGTTCTCAGCTGCCCCCCCCCAGCCGTGGCAAGGACCCGAGTCCCCAGCACAGACAGCTTTTGCCCGCGTCGTGGGGAATGGCAGGCTGCGGAGAAAGCTCCAAGCAGCCCAAGGGAAGGTGCTTGGACAGACACAGCCCTCACTCCCAGCCCAAACTGGGCCAGGGCAGCGTGTCCTTGGGCCAGGCTGCTGTCTGGGGGGTGGGGGGTCAAACCAGTGCTTGCACAGGAGGGTCTGGGCTGATCCTGCCTCCTTTCCTGGAGCTTGTGAACGCCGTGGTCAGGGCAAGCACCACTGTGGGGACAGCGCTGCCACGGCCAGAAACCTGGCTGCAGCCACCGGAGCTCAGCTCCGACCCACCCGCAGGCCAAGAGAGAGTGCCGCCCTTCCCTCGCCCGGCCCGGCCGGGCCTTTTCAGGTGGACACCCCTGCACCTCCCCCAACACAGCTCTGCCCCGAGACGGCAGCCGGAGACTGCGACTCCCACCCGGGGACCGGGGAAAGGTCCCACGGTCCAGGGCCCTGCCAGGCTTTGGTCCCACGTAGAGAGATGGCAGCACACTGCCCGGTAAGTGTGAAAGGCAGGGCGGACTGAGTGTGCTCCGGCAGGGGAGGGCTGGGGACCCCGAGAAGGCCCAGACCCCAGCTCGCTGCACTTCCATTTATTGCACCCCCGGCAAACCAGCTCTTCCCGTCCCCACCCTGCGGGCTCAGTCCTACACGCACGGGAGGGACCGCCGTGCCACGGCGGAGGACAGGCCGCGCTGCTGGAGGCCACGACCTCCCCGCACGGCTCGCGGACCGTCTTAGCCCTCCAGCACCGGAGCGCCGAGCCTGCTCCAGCCACGGTCACGCCAGGAAGCGGCCCAGGAACTGGCGGTAGACTTCGCGCTGCGGCGCGGCGGCAGGGACGAAGTGCCCGCCCGGGTGCGTGAGCACCACGGGGTCCACGAAGCAGGCGGCCAGCTCGGTGCTCCAGGCGGGCGGGATCACGGCGTCCGTGTGCCCCACCACGTGCAGGCTGGGCAGCGCCAGCGGCTCCGCGTAGAAGCGGGCGTGGGCGGGCGCGCGGCTGGGGAAGCCGGCCACCAGCACGGCGAAGCGCAGCGGGAAGCGGGCGTCCCC